ATATCTTTAGTGTTTTCTTCAAACATTACACTGGTGTACTTAGGAAAAACACTGAAAAGGATTTACAAAATAGTTCACAATATTGGGCACCCTGACAGGTAAAAGCGATCTCTTCAAGGCAACTTTTGAATGGAAAGAAGTAATTACATAAGATTATATACGTTGTTGCCGTGTAGGTCCTGGCATAGAATAGGCCACCCCTTCCATTCCCGTGGGTGTCATAAGAGGCGACTAAGGGAGGGTGAGGGATGGATAGCAGCGTCCCTCTTAAAACATCTTTAAAGCGTAACTACGGTTGCTAATCCACCTGCCAGGCGTGACTACTGGCAAAACCTGCCAAAGTGGAGGTTTATGTTCAGCAGTGGACAGTTAAAAGCTGATATAATGATGATATACGTCGTTGGTCCAAGGTCTGAGTTAAACGACACGACTGAGTTCAAAATTTATTAAAATTTGCAAAGACTGTCATAGTTTCATCACAAAACTTGAATAAGGAAACTTTTCACCGAGATCTTGCCTAAAACCTATAGATATGAATGAGTATCATTCTGTATGCTACCTATATTTGCATGTAAACTCAGAGCAAAAGGGTCTCAATGCAAAAGTAGCCTCGCTGTCGCGTTCCGGAAATTAACTTCAGTGTGCAGGGATTTTGTGTGGAGACGAAATTTTTAATTTCCAAGCAAAAGCTGGAGTGCCACGTAGAATGTAAGAAAAATGACCGGTATTCACTGCAGCGGACTGAAACTTTAATATATTATACTGTAGAATGAAAACAAGATCACTGTGCTTAGATTTGGATGGGCTACTTTTAATTTTGGGTATTGTTTCACTTTATGTTATCTGAACAATATTCTTTTTAAAACTTATGTTTATTTTTACGATATCTATATATGAGTACATGCACAATTGAAATTTTATGAACTTACTGTGTCTGTTGTTTCCGACAATTGATTTGGCTTTATCTGAAACTTTCCTTCAGAGGTACACGGCGCTCTGCGCCACAGCGTCTTGCCTCGCACTGCGGGATGCAACTGGTAGAGTCCTTGAAGACGTTTATGTTAACAATTATCTGAACAATTATGAATTTTTCCTCAAATGATATTGCCTGTTATTGTGTATATAGTGTACTAAATACTGGCAAGACATATTGAAATTGGGTTTTATTTAGGGATGCTTTCCCTAACACTGGTATATAGCGCTTTGTTCTCTAATTCATCTCCTGACACTAAAAGAGTGGTGACACTTTGTACGTTTACTTGATCATCGCTTGTTTTATTTTATACTTCACTATAATTATTTCAATATCATTTACTTTATTTTAGGTAGAATTCTGATCATTAGTGTATATATTCTAATTCTAATTAAATTTGTTGTGAGTTTATTGGACAGATTTCTGTGTTTACCCTCACCGTAGAATTCGTTGGAAATTGAAACTGACGTTATGAAATTTTTGGGTCAGGTTGATTCTAAGAATCCGAGCCACCAAATTTTGTAAATGCATTTGAAGGTACAAATTTGTTATCAAAACCAGATACAAGAAGTTGAAAAAGCTATATAACTTCAGAAGATTCAGTAACTGATCGTAAAGCTTTTTGAGATACATCTAAGGAAACTTAGTGTAGATCGTCTAATCTAAGACTGAACGCCCTTCGAATGTTTACAGTTACAAGCAAAATAGGGGTGTTACACATGAACTGTTCTTCGTGCGACTAAGTTCAAGATCACATAATATATATATATATATATATATATATATATATATATATATATATATATATATATATATATATATATATATATATATATATATATATATATAAAATATATATATATATACATATATATATATATATATATATATATATATATATATATATATATATCATTGTATATTACATGGCCAATTTTGAGAGTCATTTGCAGATAAATTTTGTTCTTGAAATACTTTATCTAAAATTACATTCATTATGATTTCTAACTTGTATTATATTAAAAGCTTACGTCAGAATGAAATACAGTATCCAGACTTTGCAATCCACTTGTAATACTGCAAACGGGCAGAATCCGCTTTCGCGTTGTCATAAAGCATGGTACCCATTAACAAACTATCTCTCGTTATTATCAGAATTAATGAAAGTTTACGAGTTCGCGTGCTGTAAACAAATGTTGTGCCATTAACTCTAACGATGTAATTTTCTGTTAGCGAGCCTCTTGGTTGAACGGTATAAGTGATAGATGATAGGCGGTTATTAAAACTGCTTTAAACGTATGTAAGGCTGTGGTTCAGTTTTAAGCGAATCTACACTAATATAATAAAGTGACCGTATGGTCACGAAATAGAATAGGTCATCTCTTCCTTTGCTATGCACATCGTGGGAAGCAACTAAGAGAACTACAGACCATATTAGATGGGGGAGATTCTCGGCTACTACGTGGGCCGGTGTTGGCAGGGAGCCGGTCTAATTCCTTGCCATTAAATATGTTGAAGCATAAAGCAAACATATATGGCCATATTAGATGGATTGCAGCATCCCTTTTAAAAGATAACCAAAACTTCATTGTGGTTACCAACATGCAACGTGTTAACTACCAGCATAACTCTCCAAGCTTATGCTCAACAGTGGACAATTAACGGTTAATATAATCATCATAAAGCGAAATAATTTGTTCGCGCGTTCAAGTGCTAATCATTGGAACTACCAGTCATATTAACTTATTTTGCATATGATAGCTCATTTGTCGAATAAAGTATAGGTTATTGAATATCATTGAATACGTAAGTGCATTTACCAGACGGAGACTTTGTACAAAAGTCGTTTGTTTGGGCACCTTTGTCTCATTCGTGTTTCTATCGTGAAGCAGTTGTGTTTGTATGGCTGTGTTTCAGTTTGAAGGGTGGGATATGGCGTGAATTTACTGGGTACAGAGAAATAACACCCGAGTCTTTAGAAATGGCAACGCATGGGGGATATCATGGGCGAAACAGTATACTCTGTTATGTCCATGGTACTGCTCATGTCTATAGGCGATGGTTACCACTTTCCATCAGGTGGACCGTCAGCTTGTTTGCCATTCTAAGTTGCATTAAAGAACTTGGGTAGTTAGTTAAATTTATTATTAATAATTTAGTACCGCTCATCACTTACCACTTGCACCACAATCCGCACTCCAACAAAATTAATGTGAAAAGCGCTGCCCTCCGCACCTCTGACTTCCCGAATAAACACCGATGTCGCTGGAACTTCGATTGGTATCTTGGAAACTCTCTGAACACATTATTCATTTTCACTGTACATGTAAACTGTCTGTTTGAAATTCTATAAAGGACTATTCTAAATGATTCGCACCCAAATCCTTAATTTATTCATACTACTATTTTTTTTTACACAAAGTTTGAGATACGCTGACTGTGACTCAGAATAAATTAGGTAGTTCGTTCACCTTTCATGATAGTCGCCGTGCGTTAAGCCGCTGTGGTCTAACTGATCTAACTTCATCCTTATTTCATTGGTACTTTAACAGCGTATACCAATACCACAACCGAGGTTACCATACCATTAAAAAATATCCTTTAAATTAGGAATATAGTCTCCCAGTAAACTGTTTGGATGAAAAATTGAGATATGTTTTTGTTTTACAAAATCTATGTACCAGTTTTCAGGGCCAGTATTTCATAATTTCTTTTAATATGAAATAAATAATTTATTTAAGCAAATAATATCATTTATCCAATGATTGAACGAAAAAAAAAACAACGTTAATAAATCTTCCAAAATGCTTTCAAAGACAATACTGTTCAGTATTTTATTGAGACAGAATTTTATAATAACCTTAATACTATAAATGCGAATATGAGTATGTTTGTTTGATACGCTTTCACACCTAAACCGCTGAATCGATTATGATGTAGTTGACTATTTTTTGCAAAAACTTACAGAGTGTGGGGTGAGGGAGGAGTAATTTTTATTGAAACTTTATTTCGTCATCCAATTTGCTTCAAACTTTGCAGAATTATTGCTTATAATTCATAATTAAAATATACATATTTCGTTTTTCAAACTACTCTATGGGGAGTGGGTTTGTTTGTGTACTAATTTATCTCTACCTATACCAAGAACTAGAATTGCTGAACAAAATCAATATTAACTCGAACAAAGCCGAGACTAATTAATGGAATGGCAACACATGGGGGGGTATCATGGGCGAAACGGTGTACTTAGTTGTGTCCGGTGTACTTAGTTGTGTCCGTGGTACTGCTCATGTCTATAGGCGACGGTTACCACTTTCCATCAGGTGGGCAGTCAGCTTGTTTGCCATTCTAAGTTGTATAAAAAAAAAAGCTAATTATATCAAGAAAATAAACAAAATATAGTGTAGTTACATAAAATCTACATATTTGTAACAGTAAAATACAGTCTGAATATATTGTTATGTTAGTGGGCGTACGTAAGATACCTACCTACCAATTTAACAATATTTTGATCAAGTTTTCCTCAACTTTTTGAACCTCAATATTGATATTAAATTTACATTTTCATAGCTAATTTAATATTAACATTTCCTTGTCAGAAAACAAGGAATACGTAAAAAAGAAAATCCAGTAAATATTTCTTTGATGTATGGACGGACTAGATAGAGTGACGACCTGAAATGCATTGCAAGGAGTCAATGGATGCACGTGGCTCAAACCGTTCATTATGGCAGTCTATGGGGAAGACTTATGTCCAGCAGTGGACGGATAATGGCTGAAATAATGATGATGATGATGATGAAATATTTATTTACTAAATATATTTTTTTTATTTTTAAACTTTAATACACCCAGATAGTGTAAATGGCGGAATTAAAACTATATGGCGTTGTCTACCAGTCAACGGTAGACAGGAAAAATAAACAAAGACTGTAAATGACGGTATTAATATAATATATACAAAAAAAAGTAATACAATAAAAACCCCATAAAATTTTTGTTCATTTATTTTATTAAAAGTTTTAAGTCTGCATTTCAATAAATTACGACGTATTTGTACAGACTCGACCGATATTTTACTATAATACACATTAATTTAAACAAAAAGTGTTTTGCGATTATATCGGATTAACTTTATCATAGTTATAACACAGTTATTACAATATTAAATAGATATCAACAAAAAAAAAAAAATATTAATTTGTGCTCTCTGCCTACCACAAAGGGTTATTAAAATTAACAATCAAATTTTGATCAGAGAAAAAAGAACTATTTTGTTTCTCATTATATATATTTTTATCTATTTTTTTATGTGTTGATCGAAGTCAGTCATATTAGATGCAATGTGCAAAACTCAAGTTTTACAAACATAAAGAATTCAAGACAATAGGCTCTCTCGTAGAAAAACGAGAATAGCTCATTATAAAATTAAGTATCTGAAAATTAAAATTTATAATCTTCATATTTCTAAATCTCGAATTTTAAAAAATACCATCTTCAACAGTTTACTCTCTCTCCGAGATCAATATGTTAACAAAGTTTATCGATTAAAAAAAAATATCATCAAAACTTAAAATTGATAAGAGTATGGCGTAATACACTAAAAAAGGAACACAGATGGAAATTTCCTACTTTACGAAATGGCGTAACATAACGGGAAAACGTGCTAAGTTAGATAAAAGTAATTATGTTTTAAAAATGAAACTCGAATAAAGCAAGATATTATTGTAGAAATAATAAAACGACTTGCTAAAATACTCTAACAACATTGTAATGAAACAATATATTTTATGTATGAAAACACAAGGTGTACAAGGTAACTTTCCGTGAACACGTGTGAACATTTATAATCGATTATAATAAATATGTTGAATACGCACATATGCGCTTGTATTATTAACATATTCCAGAACTTTATAAGTCCACTTTGTACGGTATTCGTATTTTTGGAACATTTTCACGTACAGGTTCAGTCGTGGTTCGAATAAAACGTGGTAACGATACTATTTTACATCTAATATGTACATATTTACATACACTTTGGTCCGTCTATTTTAGAAATTAGTACAGTATACGCAATTGAAGAAATAATTGGTATTAAAAATGATGTTAATGATATATTTAATAATGATACATTTAAACAATATGTAGTATCAATTAAATATATAGATTGAAAGCTCAATCAAATGGTCACTTTAATTAAAAATAATTAATTACAAAACAGTTGAAAAGAATAATCACATAAGAGAAGTAATGATTTGTATTTATTTTTGGAAAATGACAAATAATGAAATGATTGTAATTGACTATTGGAAGACATTACAACATGAAGGAAGACAATTCAATAAATACATACCAAACTGATGAAATATTACTTATATCTCATAAAAAGAATCATTATTCCTTATAATTCTATTAAAGTAATGATAAACACAAATGTAGCACTGAAGTTTTCTCAAAAATAAAAGATAGAAGTGTTTATACAATTCATATCAACAAAAAAGTATATTATTAAATATCTATAACACCAAATATTTCTTCAATCGACAACATTACAAGAAATCGGAGACACTAATAACTGATTTTGTTCGATGAAAATTTTATTGCTTCTAGTTGATAAAACACTGGGCGATAATAATTTGGTGTCTCATATCCACTAAACTTCTTAATAATTACGTCACAATCATTAAATTTAGCCCAATTCATTAATTTTAGTCCAGTTAAAAATTTGCGTTCAATCAATTTCTAAATAGTATATTTGTTGTATTTTGTTAATACAACACTTAATTTTATCAAATGTATTTCATAAAATGAAACATTCGATTCTCAGTCGATCGTTTTAATTATCCTATTAAGAGTTTTCATCACATTAGGTTCATTAATAATTCTTCTAGTTGAGATTATCATAATTGTAATTAGGATGGATATGCGCCTGAGCTGCTGAATTATATACAATTTTAAGATTTATTTACTATATACATTAATTTACATCATTAAATAATTTAATATTGTCCACTATTTTATAATCACTATCAACACTGTCCATTTCACTGTTTAGTATACAGATATGAATATTACCAATCGTAATACATTGTTCATCCCTTCGATTTCAAGTGGCACAGATTCACTTTTAAAATAAAGTTAAATGTAATCCGTAACACACTTGAGAAGGTCCGGCTCAAGTCACACTATTTCATCGTGGTGGACTACATCACTGCAACTGCCGGCTCGCTGCAGTCAGGCACGCTGTCGTCACACCCTCAGCTCCTCCATTGTCACATTCGATTTCGCGTTCAATTGCGTATTTTTCTTTGTTAGCGTACTTGTATTGATCATTTGCATTTGGTGAGCTGATAGTAGTGGTTGATTTTCTTGCAACTGACCACTCGCTAAAGTATTGATATTACTTTTCCCTAATTTCGGAGGAGGCGGCGCTCGTGGCAGTGTCGCCATACTAGCTACATTATTACTTGGCAGATCAGCAAACTCCGGAGGAGGGAGCTGATGATGTGAATGAGTATGGTGATGACTCAATATCGTGGCAGGATCGTTTTTTAAACTTGTCTGATAAGACAAGGCACCTTCGAGATCACCACAAATATTATTTGGCATTTGTCCATTTTCCGCTCTTTTTTTCAAGTGAGAACCATTTGCATGGCCGTCTTGTCCATTCATTCTTGTTTTGTCTCTTTGATAGTATACTCCAGCAAATATTAGGACATTTAATATTAACAGAGAACAACCTATAGCTATTGTTACGCTAAGTGCTGTAGAGTACGCAGCAAATCCGTCTTCGGGGGGTGTAGCTGTAGATGCATCTGGCTTGTGCGCTTCAGCTCCCACTGTGCTTTGTGTTGGTGGAGTTAGACCAATTATATTGAAATTCACGGGCGATGTTATATTAATAACACTTAAAACAGGAACTTTAGTTGCGAGACCGATGTCTGTGATCACTATGTCAGTTGTCTTTTTGAAAGGTGGACTAAATGTTTTAAGAGTAGGTTGTGGAGACGCATCTTCATGATCGAGCTGATGGTGAGAAGGTGGTACATCTTCACCTCCTGGACGGTGGAGATCTGGTACCAAGTTTAGCCAAAATGACAATCTGTTGAGAGAAATATGTAAAGTTTTTTTATTTAAATAACAAACACTTTATAATGCTAAATGAAAAATGTAAATAGAAATTACGTACCTGTGAGCCCTGTAGTGATTCTTTAACTTAGATTTAGTGTCTATATTTAAGTATTTTTTGTGAACAGCCTCATAAGCAGTCCATTCCATATTCTTCATTCTAACACGCTCTTGTCGTCCAGCTCTGATTGGATCACTTTCTTGCGCTTCATTTGGATTCCTGTTTGACAATGTATGATATATATGAGTCAAAGATTTTGATAGTAACCTTAATTTATTATTTATAACTGAAATTACCTTTATGTAATTTAGACACTGTTTTGTTTACTAGGATATTTCTTTTCTTATTTTAATATATTCAGAATTACTGTAGAAACTTTTATTATCCTTATTTATATAATTTATAATTTGTAATATTAAAAAAATAATAAGTTTGCACATTTCACCTTAGTGTTTAAGACACTAAGGTACCTCGTATCTCGTACCAATTGTTATGAAGTTTGGGTAATTTTGAATATGACAATGAAGTTAAACGTACAATTAATATAAAGTAATTAATTACCATACCATTTAAAATTGTGGTTGATTTGATTAATCTTGATTGAAACTAATAAAAAAAAAATACTATAAAATTAAAATGAATATTAAATTCGTAGAATACGCACAATTCAAAGACGAAACCTTATTCACAAAATAATCTATTGATAAAATTGACTCAATATACTCTCAACTTCTTAATGTAACTCGTAAAATAACCATTACTTTTAGTATAGATAATTAAATTTAAAATTAAGACTTTTATATACTTTTCAGCGAGCAACGGTAGAATAAAGTAAAGCACTTCGTTCCACCCAGCTGTAAAACGTGAATTTACGCAGATCAATTAGCTCATCTTTATAATTATATGCCATGTTTCGTTTATAATCTTATCTATTAATATTTTAACTCTTATTTAGCTGCTAACATTTCAATTTGATAATCATGTTTTACGAGCAATTAGTAGTAAGATGAAATAGTAATTTCTACTAATATTTACGAGCATAAATGCGAAAGTGAGTTTGTTATTTGTTCGTTACATTATAGCATTTTAATGGCGTAACTAATCACATTGAAATCTGCCATATACGTATAATATGGGATGGAGAAGGCCATAGTACTACTATGGTATTTTTATCCTGGTTAGTAAATATTTTCTGGTCACACAGATAAAATCGCGGGTAAGAGATATAATAATAATAAAAAAGAAATTGTTCTCGAAAACAAATTTATAAATTTAGAAAATCGGCCAATGATATTTATTTTTTTATGCATGTTTATATAGATTACAAATTATGAAGTTTTATAGATTTTTTGCAGTTCTATTTTAGATTTGTAAATTCAGACTCCATGATATTTTAATGGAATTCATTATCTTATACTTTTAAATGAAGTCTAACCGTGAGATTAGACTTTAATTAAAAGTATATAAGCTTTATTGCCAGCAAAGTTTTTCTAATACAGTATAACAAATACAAGTTAAGACACCTCAGTTTTGATATAGTTATATCTCGTAATAGCAAAGCATATTTTTTTGCAAATTGTCTATAAAATTTTAATGGAATTTATTATCATACATATTTAATTGAAGTCTAATCTCATCAGTCAACCCCTAATACAGTATAATGAACTCCGATAACAGTCTCAAATTTTAAATAATCACATTTTGTAATTTAAAAGCTAATGTATAATAAATTTCTAAAGAGGATTTTTGTTATCATATTTTATATCTGCCAATTCTCATGGGATTGTAACGGATTTCTTTTTTCGTAATTCTATTTTTGAAATGCTAATTCTCAATTAATGATATTCTAATGAAATTCGTAATCTTACATGTTTAAATGAAGTTTAATCTCACCCGGTCTTTGCAAAGTTCCCCCAATACAGCATAACGGACTCCGATAACGCCACCTCGGCTTTGGTATAGTTGCGGGGGAAGTGTGCTAGTCCACCCACCAGCGGCGCGCCAAATATGTACGGCAGTTCCTCTCCATGTATGCAGCCTTGTCGCTGTGGAAACATTCAGATTAGTAACGATTTATAAAGCTGGCATGCCTTAATAAGAATTTAGTAATCCACCTAGTTCAGTGTCAGTAACAGACATAAAATTATTGACAATGTTGCTGTAGTTTTCAATAGTATTGTTTCATTTGTTTAATTTAATATTGTTTAATTTTGTGTTTCCTACACTTGTATTACGTTTGTGCAAAATTTTGTGGCTGTCAAATTACTACTTAAGTGTGTAAATATGTATTGTTCTAGCTGTCTGTTTGCCTTAATATATAAATAAATTTAAAAAAAGTAGATGTAGACAATTTGCAAACGGTATCGAACCCTTAAGTCTTAGGAGAGATTTTGCCTCACTCTGCGTGTTCTACCGTTTGTACAACGGATTGTGCTCAGAAGAATTGTTCAATATGATACCCACGGCCACTTTCTATCATCGTATGACTCGCCATCGACAGGGAGTTCACCCTCATACCCTACAGCCTAAATGGTCGCGTACAATACGGTTTCAGAGATGTTTTCTCCCACGAACACTCAGGTTATATAATGAGCTCTCTGCCGAGGGTTAATATAGAAAATAATAAATTAAACACTTTACGAGTATATTTACCAAAGGAAACTTTGTACAAAAATAATTTGCTTGGGCACCTCTGTCCTATTCGTGTTCCTACCGTGAAACAGTTGTGTTTGCATTAGTGTGTTTCAGTTTGAAGGGTGGGATATGGCAGTGAATTTACAGGGTATATAGGAATAACACTTGATTCCTCAGGAATGGTAACAAATGGGGGGTATCATGGGCGAAACAGTATACTCTGTTATGTCCATGGTACTGCTCATGTCTATAGGCGAAGGTTACCACTTTCCATCAGGTGGGCTGTCAGCTTGTTTGTAATTCTAAGTTGCATAAAAAGAAAAAGTATGTAAAAGGTAGGCAGGTAACAGTATCTATTTTAAAATGTATAGGTAAAGGTATGAAGAATTACAACGTGAGACAATTCCACCAATAATTTGCTAAAAAAATACTTTTTTAAATTCAAAATTTTATATCGGATATAAAACGTAACACAAAGTATATATATATATATATATATATATATATATATATATATATATATATATATATATCCTGTTTCCTACGAGCAATGTACTCGTAAGTTTAGTCAGACATCACTTGACTTTCGTCCAGGGATCTCAAGATTGAAATAAGCCCAAACCTTTAAATTTCCGAATTCATAATTGTAAAATAATTGTCATTTGCTTCAAATTGCGGAGAACATGTAGTAATTTGATATGAAATAAATTACAACTTTAAGTGCTTTCATAATGAAGACAGCTTAGAAGTTTTGACACTAGAGGGCGACACACTCGCAATGGTAGTAATGGTAGTTTTCTAGCCTATTAACAAATTATTATTATTAAACATCTTCCAATTTGTAGGTTACCAACCTATTTCAGTCCTATGTAGTTTCAGAAAAATAAATAGTATCAAGCATGTGACAATCTTTTTCCCTTTAAGTTGGTTTTATAGAATATATTTTTGTATCGTGACATATTATATATATATATATATATATATATATATATATATATATATATATATATATATGAATTTATTTATTATTTAGTATTATTCATTGTATCATCTTGTACTAAATCTTTCATTCATTCCTCCTAAATCTGTATATACATTTATCTTCAACCTCATATCTACAAATTCTTAGAATCATAACATTTGTTATAATAACTTTAAATATAAGTAGGTAGTCATCTAAATATTCGAGTTAAAGGTAATATTATCTTTAAACGAAATCATATACTATTTATAATACCAACTAAACCCACACCACAACTTTATATTCTGTATATCAAATATAGAAAATACAATGAGAATTACTAGGAAAGTGTTCTATACCCTCCACTTGATATAAATAAAGGAAAACACTATCGCTTAATATTCGTGAAATTGAAATATCGTATCCTGATTTTAGAAATGCGTTATAATAACAAACACTTGTTTGAATACAAATTTAATGGGTATGCTTTCATTGGTGGAACTCTGTCGATTTTATCAATTATATTAATAGAATAGAACAGATTAATCTTTATTCAAATAAATTTGTAACTAGTATTTCTATTGCTGTATTCATTGGATTATCTTTTGACGGAATTGAATTGAGATTAAATCGAAAGCCCATCGAATAGGCATTAAATTTGAATAAATACTCATTTTTGAGTTTATTAATTGCAAAGAAAAAACGAAAAAACAAATCTTTGCTTTTTACATATGTATATATCTATATATATACATATATATATATATATATATATATATATATATATATATATATATATATATAATAATAATATATAATATAATAAATATAACATATATCATATTTTAATTGAAATAAAAGTGTGAAAATTGCATTTAATTTGGTGAACTAGTATTACACAAAAATTACTGAATCAGACAAACAGATCAACAATATATTACTATAAATACAATAATATATATTAATAAAGATACACTTTTGAAAAATTATTGTTTTGATATCTATTGATCCATCCATGTTTTTTAGGCCTTCCTCTGCCCTTACAGACCATACACATTCGTTCTTAACATTTCTTAAGACATCTCATCATCATCTGCTCATCATCCTGGCGCATCACTTGTCCATACCACACAGTATCCATCTGTCCTGGATAGATGGATGGCCCTTATACTTCCTCTGATGTAATTATTCTTCTCCCATATACAGATATCATTTATGTAATTTACTACGTTTATTATATCAGATAGGTAATAGGCAATTTAATCCTATGAATATCAAAATGAACGTTACTTGACCTTACTAATCGCCTCCCCCTTCCCCGTAAAATACAAACACGTGAAAGCATTATAAATATAAGGCTTAATTTTAATTAGTACATAACAAACGACTCTCTGAGACTATAAGCGTATTATTTGAAATACATTAATTGAAATAATAAGTATAAATATAATTTTGTACCTTTTGTGTTGGAACGTTTTGAATGTTCTACGAAAATATGTTAATTTTTTTTTATTAAAACCAATAAGGATATTTAAACTAATATTATGAAGAGGAAAAATATGATTTTTTGTTTGTAATGGATAAAAAAAAAATATTGCTTGAGTATTTTTTTAATTTTTTCAATTTCAAAAATTCTTTCACTTACAGAAAGCTACATTATCCACGAGTAACATGGGATATTTATGATTTAAAAACCAGTAAAAGTTAGTACGGATCATTAGTAATTTTTTTAGTAAATATGATATAAATATTGTTTCACAGAGTAAAAGAAATCTAAATCAGAAAATAACTAAAAAAAAATCATGTTTACACATCACATATCGTCATAGTCGTAGAATACTGACGGATCTATATATGTAATATTTGTCAGATCCGTCAGTACTCTACGACTATGACGATATATTGCCACGTAATTATTTGATAAAAGCCTTAAAAAATCATTTTTTAATTAATTAATAAAAGGATAAGGTACCTAGTTTATTATAATAAAATATATTTTATTATTTTCCCAATTAATTAAAATCACCGTTAAAATTTCAACTCAGTTGGAATCGATCAATGCTTTCTGGCATATTCCTATACATATGTATACTTTGACGACATTACCTGTTAATTAAAAATCCGGAACATTAATCTGGCTGGCACCAATTTAACAGTATCAATTTACCGGCTGCTCCTGACCATTATTGGCTTTCTATCTAGTTAGCGTAGCGAGGCATACGAGCTAACTTGACTTCGGTCTTTATTAACAACAAGCTCTCTTGCTTTTACAACGACCAGTTTTATTAGACCTACCATCCAGTAGCAACAACTTAACATGACGTACTCATGTAAAATGGTAAGACGTTCATTACTACGATCCCGGCCAGTTCTATAAGATCCCTTCTCAAAAGGAAACCGCTATGACTGATATGTCTTCATACATTGTCAAGTGTATAATTACTTCGCTTAAAACGAAGTTAGTTGATCGTACTGAAAATCGTATGGGTGCGGAAATTGCGTCGGTAAATACATATTGTGTACCTTGTTATGGGGGATTAATGTGGAGTAATTAGATGCTTTCATGTTAAACGGGTCGGATACGGATTGGTCATAATCCGTTTTTAAGGTTAGCTATACGTAAAAATTTGTTTTCTTAGCTTAGAGAAAGAAATATGGTTTAATAAGTTTGTTTTAAAATAAATGTTACAAACATTTTAAATACAGGTGAAACCCTGCTCCCTAAATAGCTAAATAGCTCTCTAAATCCTGTACTTTAGGATAAGCAGTGCTCTTCCCTTTACGAATACTGTAGAATACTGACGGGTCTTTATATGTAATCTTTGTCAGATCCGTCAGTATTCTACGACTATGACGATATATATATATATATATATATATATATATATATATATATATATATATATATATATATATATATATATATATAAAAGAACAGTAAAACTTAAGCTACTAATACAATAATAATTTAATTTGTCCAAATAATAATTTGTAAGTGAATCTTGACTTTCTAATTTGTGAGTATATGGAATGGATGTGTTATTGTAAAATGGCAGTCATAACCTAAGATACTACTAATAACAAATCTTCAGTTTCATCATATGTCTTACTTAATAGCCAATCACTAACAATTCTTTTGCATATATGTTAATTTTTTGAATATATAGATAATACCTTATTTGCCTTTTTTTATAAATATGGTCCCGAAAATAATAAAAACTTCCGAATAAATGATGTGTGAAATTTATTATAACTCTTCTTTTATATTTAGAAACCAACTTCCAGTAGCTTAATACACTAGAAGATGGTTTTATATTAATAATTGCTTATTAAGGTCACTGAACGTATGTATTAAAAAAAAACTATATGATAATACATCATCATTATCATCAAATCAGCAGTTAACTGTCCACTGCTGAATATACGCTTCCCCCTATTGGGGTGTATATCCAGTAGTTGCTATCCTTGGCAGGCAGGGTTGCCAATTACAGTTAGGTTTTGGTGATGATTTAGAAGGACACTGCTGCCTATCCCTAGACCATTAAGGCCTCTTAGGTACTTATTACAGCACTTACAGGAAAAGAAAGGGAAGGCCCATTCTATGCAGGGACTACAAGGCAGTTAGCACATTATGACAGTTCAGTTGATGTAAAATAACAACTGTCGCTTTTGAAAATCATTAAGAAAGAAAGAAAAATATTTATTCAGAGCATTTCTCTAAATAATATACAAGTACAGTGGAGATTAGATACTTAATAATTTAAATTCAAATATACTTGTTTACGAGCACTTTTAAATTGCCATTTTTTTATAGATGCAAGGTTCGGAAAGTTAATGTTCGGAAAAAATAATAATGAAAAATGTTTCTCAAGTAAAAAAAAAAAGAAGTATAAAAGGTGATTATGATTTTTAATTGCTTCTGATATTTTAATCGATTCATTCTATGAACTAAATCGATAAATAACTAAAAAAGTATAGCTAATAGTGAAAAAACAATTACAATTAAAAAAATTGAGAGGGAGACTTTGTACAAAAGCCGATTGCTTGGGTACCTCTGTCCTATTCGTGTTTCTACCGTGAATCAGCTGTGTTTGCATGGCTGTGTTTCGGTTTGAAGAGTGGGATATGGCGTGAATTTACCGGGTACAGAGGAATAACACCTGAGTCCTCAGGAATGGCAACGCATGGGGGGTATCATGGGCGAAACAGTATACTCTGTTATGTCCATGGTACTGCTCATGTTTCTAGGCGACGGTTACCACTTTCCATCAGGTGGACCGTCAGCTTGTTTGCCATTCTAAGTTATATGAAATAAAAAAAATTAATTGCTTCTGATATTTAAATCGATTCATTCTATGAACTAAATCGAAAAGTAACTAAGGAAATATAATTTTAATAGTGACAAAACAACTACAATTAACAAAATAATAGGTGTAATATTTCAGCCATTTGGTTACAAAACTAACACTCCTATAATTATAGTCTAGTATCAAGAGTTCTTTGACCCCTATTATCTATGTATATACTAACATTATTTATTATTAAAATTTAATTTATTATTTATATTATATTGTGTTATTTGTTAGTAGTGTATAAAATAAAAAAAAAAACTACTCGACAATTTTTAAAAATTCTTTTATCTCTAAAAAATATTATTATTTGTTTACCAGAGTGAGACTTACCACTTACCATCGGGTGGGCCGTATGCTTGTTTGCCATCTCAGTGGTATAAAAAAAACTTAGTACAAAAGTCGTTTGCTTGGGTACCTCTGTACTATTCGTGTTTCAACAATGAAGCAGTTGTGTTTGCATGACTGTGTTTCGATTTGAAGGATGATACTGCAGTGAATTTACAGGGTACAGAGGAATAACACCAACACACAGGAATGGCAACACATAAGGGAGGATTACGGGCGAAACAGTATACTCTGCTGCTATATTCATGGTATTGCTCATGTCTATAGGCGACGGTTACCTTTTTCATCGGGTGGGCCGTTAGCTTTTTTGCCATTTTAAGTTGTATAAAATAATAAATAAAAAAGTGTACATAATTTCAAAAAAAAGTATATCCTTGCGATATATACAAAAAAAAAACAAAACTTTGTCTATTGCTAATATAAAACATAAAATCATTTTCTTTATCGAAATGAGAGTCGGAGAGAAACTCTAGTTGAAGATAAAGGTCTTGAATAAATGACATTTTTATTCTCGTGAAAGAATTACATGAGAACTCATTACTATTTTTAAATAATATAAATAGATGAGAATTTAATACATTGAAAGGTTTGGGCTGCGATTTGATTGTTTGAATTGTTCTCTTTTTGTTCCATAATCGCTTTATCTCTAATTATGATAATAGAAGATTAAATTTTAAACACAACCTAAACTCCAATGAAATTGCTACTTAATCTCACTGGAAACAAAGTTGACATTTTCTATTAACTTCCTATTTTGCCCGTTTGAAAATCGAATCCTAAAAATGACATCGAAGTTAGGAAATCGGGTACGCTCATTTCCTGTTTTGTCCGTTTGAAAATCGAATCCTAAAAACCGACATCGAAGTTATAAAGTCGGGCACGCTCGTCGCAGCAAACTATTTAGGATAGTAATTAATACTCTAATTGAATTCGGAATTCGCAAATTGGTTGATAGCACTGAAATATTACCTGTGGGTAGTCACCGAACTTGCTCTGGTAGTCGAACACGTATAGATAGGAGTTGCGGCGTAGCGCCGAGTGTGTATCTGCGGTGAGGACCATTGGCGCGACTACTTGCGCATCGCTGAGTGCTTCCAGTGTCTCGTCCCTGTATAACAATAAAATTAACAAGTTATATATATATTATTAATATTTTATTTAAATATATATATTTTTTTATTTTCTATTTCATTGCTGATAACGTTGCACCGTCAATTATATTTTTTGTTACTTCTATATAGACAGGAGTCAGCCTTATGGCTGACTGGTAGATAAAGTCATATGGTGTAAAATCCGTCATTTATACTATCTAGGTGTATTGAAGTTTAATAAATAAATAAATATATAAACTATTAACAAAGACTGTACGTATTGCGGTTAACGAAATTAAATCGTGGATTAGTAGTACTTAAGATCGTTATTACTCTGATAATAGAATGCAATTTACCATCATAACAGATAGTACGATTGATTAGTCGATTAGAATTATTTTGTTTAATTCTGCCACCGTTATATAATAGTGGAATTAAACAAAATAATTTTAATTCCGCAACCGTTAATTCTAAATCACAATCAAAGTGGTTTGCTTGGGTACCTCTGTTCCATTTGTGTTTCTGCCGTGAAGCAGTTGTATTCGCATGGCTGTGTTTCGGTTTGAAGGGTGAAATATGGTAGAGAACTTACAAGGTACAGAGGTATAACACTTTAGTCCTTAGTATCTGATATGACGGACAAGATTTAAGATTTTATCTCAAAAAAAATATTCAAATGTGATCTTACTGATCGTAAAAGGAGTAATCAAAATCGGTTTAGTGTTTACGACGTAATGGCATACCATAACCATAAAAACAAATTAAGGACATCTGCTTTTTTGATGTCATTTAAAAATTGTAAACATTTGATACAAACAGCGAATTTACTGGGTACAGAGGAATAACACCTGAGTCCTCGGGAATGACAATGTGTGGGGGGTATTATGGGCGAAACAGTATACTCCGCTATATCCATCTTACTGCCCATGTCTATAGGCGACGATTACCACTTTCCATCAGGTGGGCCGTCAGCTTGTTCGCCATTCTAAGTTATATAAAATAAAACAAAACTGTCAAATTACAAAAGATACCCACAAATAATTACTACATTGCAAAAACAATTATCCATTCAAATTGCTTCACTGTGTAACCTAAAGAGATTTAAATTAAACGTTAAAACAGAATTCATTATAGAAATAATAATTTACAATTCATTTCAAAATACCAAAGTGCACGATAAAACACTTCGAAATAATATCAAAGAACATTGGAAATTATTTCGACTTTTTGAAATGTATACCTATTTAATTTTATCGGCATTTTAAAACGAAAGTGCCACGAAAACGAATTTAATAATTTAAAGCTGTGGCCAATGTAATAAATTTAAAAGTTTTGATTCCTGGTATCCGTTAGCAATATAATATTTGGAGCAACTTGTTCATAATTTATAGGGTTGTCGCAAATTCTAAATGTTTTTTTTTTAATCAACTCAGAATATCTAAAAATCTAGTAGCACTCCTCCGAAATAGTCCATCATCAACATCATCATCATTTCAGCCATTATTCTTCCATTGCTGGTCATAGGCATTCCCCATAGATTACCATAAGGAACGGTAGATATTTGGTAATTAAGTACGAGAATAGGTCGTTAAATATATTTCGTACCGCTATTACCCTAGTACCTTTAAATCAAAATACGGCCATGCAAATTAAAGGCATTTCACGGCGGCACACACAAGTGGAACAGAGATGTTTAAGCAGACGATTTTAGAACAAATCTACGTTTCGTATTTTATTGTTGAATTATTTTATCTAAATATTATAATGAAGGACTTACATTTTATTCTAGTCAATAAATATTTATTTTTATACACATAAACTATGGTTAAAAACTATGGGAATAAAGTTATAGGGTACGAACGCATAACACCTTAGTCCTCAGGAATTGCAACAAATAAAGAATAAAATGGACGACACATTACACTCTGTTATGTCCATGGTACTGTTTGTGTCTTCAGGCGACGGTTATCTCTTTCAATCAGGTGGGCCGTCAGCTTATTTGCCATTTTAAGTTGCATAAAAAGAAAACAAGTAATTTATAAGATAAATAAATAAAGTACCTAAATTATAATATAACATAATTTAAAATTATAATATTAATTCCATTCTGTTTTTAATTATGTTAAAAAATTCAAAGATAAATTAACAGGGCGTCCTGTTTGTTACTTATAATTTATAAGGCGTTGGACGATTACGGAAAATAAAGTATTTATTTATTTTCACATCTAAACTTGAATTGTTTCACATTAAAAAAAACATGTTCTCTATTTTGTAAAATATGATTCAACATATGATTTTTTTTATATATTTTTTCTAAACGAGCATGCGGCTTACTTAATAAGATAGAAGGATAAGTGACTACCGCTGCCCATGGTCACCCACAACACCAACGGCATTACAGGTGTGCTGCCGGCCTTTTAAAAAGGAATATGCTCTTTTCTTAATAAATTTTTCTTCATTAATAAAGAAATAAATAAAATTTCAGTGTTTAATATCGTCTATAAACAAAACATTAACAAAAAATAAACATTTATCCAATCCCTATTTTGTTAGATTTGATAATTCTCTCGTTAAAACGTGGGCAAGCGAAGTAAATCTAAGACTCCCATTCAATACAATCACTGAATTGATACCCCTTCGGTTACGCCTACTCAGAATTGCTAATTGCAATAGAAAATTTCCAATAAACATTAATCCTGACAAAATATTTTAACAAAATTAAAATATCATCATGCTCAAAGTAAATTCTTTCAATTAAAAATAAATCCTTTTAATTATAAGAGAATTAAAATTGGATAACAAACTGAAAAATCAGCGCTGTAGTGTCCCTCACATTACAGCGAAATGCTGAGTACGCACCTCGTTTTACAGGTATTGCGACGCACGCGCACACACACACACACACACACACACACACACACACACACACACACACACACACACACACACACACACACACACACGCACACGCACGCACGCACACACATACACACACACACACACACACCCTTATTTTTGATGAAAATGTTATAATACGAATTGCTTTTATTTTATTTTTTATTTATATATAATTATTTTGTGTGTAGTTTCGTTATTATAATTTTTAATACATTTTTTTAACCCCTGTGTGAGTGCAATCGCATAGTTCTGTAAATTATAGTTTCTTTCTTTCTTTCTTAAATGTATCATGTAACCTATAAATATATTTGATAAGAATTATTATTAATACTGTCTTATAATGCCAGTATTATAAGTCTAAGTCCCGGAATAGGATAGGCATCCCTATCCTTTAAAGGCGACTAAGGGAAGGCAAGGGATGGGCAGCAGCGTCCTTCTTAAAACATCACAAAAAGCTTAACTGCGGTTGTCAATCTGCCCTGTCAAGTGTGGTAACTACTGGAAAACCCCCTTTATGAGGGGAGCTATGTTCAGCAGTGAAAAGTTAACGACTGACACGACATATAATTACTGGTTTTTTGCCCACTATTTAGTACGCGTGGATTTCAAAAGTAGGAAAGTCAAGAAGTTCTAGACAGAATACCAAGATAAAATATAAATCAGGTTTTAAGTTAGACTTCTAATATCACAACTGTAAGAACCGTATCCAATTTGATGTGTTAGTTTTTTTTTTTTTATACAACTTAGAATAGCAAAAAAGCTGACGACCCACATGATGAAAAGTGGTAACCGTCGCCTATAGACATGAGCAGTACCATGGACATAACAGAGTCAGAATACTATATATCCCACCCTTCAAACCGAAACACAGCCATGCAAACAACTGCTTCACGTAGAAACACGAATGCATGATATTGAAATAAATATACAAACCGATAGATGGACAGACGCACGAAAACAGAGATAAAATTTCTAAAAATATTGTTAAATATTTGACATCTAACCAATACCAGACGGAGACTGTACAAAAGTCGATTGCTTGGCTACCTCTGTCCCATTCGTGTTTCTACCGTGAAGCAGTTGTGTTTGAATGGCTGTGTTTCTAAAATCTAATAGAATTATTAAGGTCTCTCATATTATTTTTTTTTTAAATATCTTTCATATACAGAAATTGTCTAGTTACGATTTTATTATATTATTAAGAAATAAACAACATTTAAAATAATAATTATATAGTCAATAATAACATAGTTAACTATTTATTTGTATATTTATTTATGTATTGATTAGTGTTCATAGTTATTTGTAATCTAAATATATTAATAGTTGTAGCACTTCAGCTGTCCGCTAACGACATGCTTTCCAACTGTATTAGGTTGACTTCCAGTCAAGATCTCTATCAGAGATAAGTCCACACTTGCTCACAATATTTATAAATGAATTAACAATGTAATTTACAAGTGTAATAAAGAATTATAACAAATATTTCTTATTCATAACAAAATGTTAAACGTTTTTTAAAGAAAATATAAATTAAAGTTATAAAATTTTTCACACCAAAATCACCTCTGCTCTAGTAGCCTTAATATGTATATAAATAATACAAAAACCACCTTCCTTACAACAAAAGCTTTACTAATTTTAACGAACCATAAAATTAATATTAATTTTTGTTCTCATTGTGTATTTTACAACGATTTCCTGGCACTGGCAACCCTGAGTAAAGTGGCTCGACTTTTTTTTTTCTTCAACAAAATATTAGTGCCGCAGTTCAGTGTACATTTTTGGCTCGAATCCACACGAATGGGAAGTTTTTGAGCATTAAATCCGTTAATATTTGCCAAAATATATTGCCTGTATGCTTCGAGAGCGCGGTCGAACTGGATTTGGGGTTTGAAAGTTTTGACTCTTAGACTCCTAGTTAGTAGTAACTAGTAGAAGCCGTTGTGGCTCTGTACTATACTACTACGACTTAGAACGTAGAGGTCGTGAGTTCTAATTCGCGTGTTTGGGGGAAATGGATTGTTAGTAATGCAAATTATCAGTCCCATTGCTAGCAATATACTCTGTCGGGTCGACAACCCCCTGGTCTCCCTGGAAACCACCGTGCTGAATACCAAGGGTAATAAATACGATGAGCTAATTGACCTGCGTTTTAATTCTCATCTATCATCCCTCACTGGTACCTCACTAGTGTATACTGTTAGCGCGGGTGGGGTTAACATTCCATTATCATCCATTAACACATTTATTTTATTGATGGCAGTAAACTTGGCTTCAAATATGCTTGTCATATTGTGAATTACATTCACAATACGACAACAAGTAACATTCCACGAATGTACCCATTTGTTAAGTATTATCTCTACCTCATTGTAGGTCGCAAGATATATATATATATATATATATATATATATATATATAGACCACGGGTTGTCTTCTTACTTATCATTTTTCGTAGAATATCATGCACGTATAGATAACTTTGTTGAAATATCTAGGTCAGATAGCTAGCTCTTAAGTTATTTCTGTGTTCTACTAAAATAATTTCTTGGTGAAATTCAGTTCGCATTTTCCATAAGGCCACATGGGGTACGAAGATGATAGATGGGGCTTTATGGGGGTTGCAAAATACCGACGTCGTTGTTTACACCGTGAAATAAGATCTCATTTTTCGTGTAATTTCACCAAGAATCGCTGTTAAATTTTTTAAGCGTGAAATATTATAGTGTTTTATAATACTAGCTATAACCTCGCGGCTTCACTCGCGTAAATCAGTACATAAAGTATTCTATGTGTTAAGTTAGAATATAACCTACTTGTGTAACGGATTTCATTCTAAATCGTACAGTAGTTTTTGAAAGAAAGAAAGAACAAAAGAAAAAGAAAGAAATAAATAAAGAAAGAAAGAAAGTAAAGAAGAAGGAACGAAGATAGAAAGACAGAAAGAGGAAAGAATGAGAGAGAGAGAGGGAGAAAGAAAAAGAGAAAGAAAGAATGAATGAAATAAAGAAAGAAAATTCCTTATGTGTGAAAGATTAACACTCCTCTAACATTCATTGATCGTTAGAATCTTTCCTATTTATCATGTTAATAGGACATTTACCTTATATTAATCGGATGCTGCACCGGCCTCTCCCAGTCCGTGTACTCGTTTATGATGGTCGCAAGGATTTCCGACAAGTGATAGCTATACGTGTTTCTAACAAAGGACTTCAATATTTTCGACCGTCTATCTGCCTCGATGCCGTATTGTACGTCATCTCCGCTGAACGCGAAGTACGCTTCGGCTTTTGTTACGCCCAGCATTAGATCGTATCTGAAAAAAAAGGGAATGGATTAGATATGTGCATAAAACGGAGGGAGACTTTGTACAAAAGTCGATTGCTTGGGTACCTCTGTCCTATTCGTATTTCTACCGTGAAGAAGTTGTGTTTGAAGGGTGGGATATGGTGTGAATTTACAGGCTACAAAGAAATAACACCTGAGTCCTCAGGAATGGCTACGCATGGGGGGTATCAGTTTTCTAGCAGCAGTATTTCCGAACCGATACGACAACATAACCTTCACGAAAACAGTAAAATGCCAACAGCACACTTGCAATGCCGCTGGTGTTCTGGGTGATCATGGGCGGCGATAGTCACTTACCATCAGGTAAGCCCCCTCAGGGTCGCGCCTCCATGGTTGAGAAACGATGTGCTATCTTATGTAGTGTTATATTCACCAAAAATGTAACAGTCAACAAATACCTCTGTCTACCCCGTCAGGAATTTACAGTCGTGAGTGAGTAAATATGTTAACTATTTATCTTTATGTATACATAAATTCTCGAAGCTTCGTTATAAATGTTGGCTGTTTGTCACGAGTTCGCTCACAGGAACTCATTATCGCCTGTTCCCTTAGGAATGTCGGGAGTTTCTTAGTGAATATCAGTGTTGAAATTTCAGATTTTGTAGCATAAGAAACAACTATTACAAATTTTTAATAATATTAAAATATTTTATACCAGAGGGAGACTTTGTACAAAAGTCGATTGGTTGGGTACCTCTGTCCTATTCGTGTTTCAACCGTGAAGCAGTTGTGTTTGTATGGCTGTGTTTCAGTTTGAAGGATGGGATATGGCGTGAATTTCCTGGGTACAGAGGAATATCACCTGAGTCCTCAGGAATGGCAACGCATGGGTGGTATCATGGGCGAAACAAACAGAGACTCTGTTATGTCCATGGTACTGCTCATATCTATAGGCGACGGGTACTACTTTCCATCGGGTGGGCCGTTAGTTTGTCATTCTTAGCTGAATAAAAAAAAATAGTAACCCCGAATACGTTAACGGTATATACTGAAAGGGCACCAGTGAGGTATGATAGGTGGGAATGAAAAGGCAGCTCAGTTAGCTCATCGTGATGAATACACTTAGAATTCAGCACGATGGTTTCCAGGGTGAACCACGTTGAGTTCTACCTAATAGGGTATATTGCTAGCAATGGGACTGGTACACTACATTACTAACAATATCTTCCCCCCCTCTCAAAAGTAGTTAGGATACTCTGTCCTATAAGGAACCCCTAACTAACATCTATCTATCTAACGAATCAAAATAACCAGACTCGATCCAATTTCGAAAACGTTCATTTTCTATATTGGTCGATCGATAATTGAACTCTTGACAATAAAAATTACATATAATTTAATTTATTTACAGTAATTTTTATGTGATGTCAGAATAAATAAACGAGTTTTGGCTTCAATTACTCTTATAGGAGGAGATTGCACATTTAAATTTTTGTTAAATATCTCCTGTGTAGAGAGGTGATCTAGTTAGAATTTTATTACTATCATTACTATTAATTATATTACTATTAGTATGTTATTAGTAAGATCTAAAATAACATATTTACACATCCTTACACACTCTTTCAATTCCGCTCGTTAATAGAGTACAATATTTGTAAAGCGAAAGAACTACTCGAGCCTTATCTAAATTGTACAAAGATTGGGTCCTTCGTTCCGGATATAAGCAAAGATAAAACATTTATAGGAGTTTTACAAATAAGAAACGTAAATAATTTCGTATCGCGAACCATCGGCCCGTTTATAGAACAATTTTGTTCAGATCAAACATTAAGATTATAAAATTAATTAATGCCTTCGTTTTGTATTGCTCAATATTTTTCCTTTGTAGAACTAATGGTGTTTTTCACGGTCATCGACCGATTAATTGATTACTTTACTAATGAAGGAAGGAGGTGTAATTAAAAACTTATAAAATAATAAATTTCTCAATTTGTCTATTTTTTTTTATTATATAATATTAACGTGAATACGTTGTAGTATAGTACTGTATTTGTTTTATATATATATTTATTCGTTTATATATGTAATTTTAGTATATATATAAATAAATAATTTAAATTGGTATTTTATAATTGATGTATATTTTAAAAATAATAATAACAATTTATTTAATTAATAATATGGAAATGTAAACTATGGGTATATACCTGAAAATAAAGAGATTTATTATTATTTATTATATATATATATATATATATATATATATATATATATATATATATATATATATATCGTATCTGAATCGTCTTCAACCGACTTAAATAAAGAGGGAAGTTCTCGATTCGGTTGTATTTTATTTCTGTTTGTTATCTAAGAACTTTATTTGTAAACCAATTTGGAAAGTCCTTTTTTTACTTAAAAGGATATACTTTCATATTGATCCAGTTGAAATTACATTTTATGGCTACGTAGTTAAGTTTCAAATCTTAATAACTCGTTTTAACCTCGATTGAAGCCAGTGTTCTTTTTTTGTGTTACAAAATCTAGATATAAAAATAGATAAACTCTTCAAAAGTTGTGCAAAGTTTACCAGAGGGAGACTTTGTACAAAAGTCGATTTGCTTGGGTACCTCTGTCCCATTCGTGTTTCTACCCTGAAGCAGTTGTGTTTGCATGGCTGTGTTTCGATTTGAAGGATGGGATATGGTGTGAATTTACAGTATACAGAGGAATAACATCCAAGTCCTCGGGAATGGCAACGCATGGGGGGTGTCATGGGCGAAACAGTATACTCTGTTATATCCACGGTACTGCTCTTGTCTATAGGCGACGGTTACCACTTTCCATCAGGTGGGCCGTCAGCTTATTTGCCATTCTAAGTTGTATAAAAAAAAGTTGTAACAATAGTAACATACAAAGTAAACAGTGTTGAAGAAAAAGGCAATAGACACAATTACCAGAAGGAGATTTGTCCTACACTGCGTTTGTCCGTACGCGGTCGCCACTCAAGAACCTTTCTCCCCTATCGGTCGTTGGTTCTTCGTGTTATGTGACCAGACCATTGCCACTTCCATTCCCCATTTCGGATTCTATCACTTAAAGAAACAACGAGCATAGCCCTCTCTATAGTCCGTTGTGTATTTTGAAACTTTTGCATACGGGCAATCGTGTAGGACCATGTTTTATTTATTTATTTATTCATTAGTACAAATATGTGTACATGGCGGACTTAATGCTAAAAGCATTCTCTCCCAGTCAACCATAGGGAAGTGTCAGAATACTCGAATGCGGTACTACTAATTATTGATACACATACATACTAAAATTACATATACGAGTATAAACGAATAAATATATATGAATAACAAATACACTTACACATGTATGATATATACTATATTATACACGAATTTGGGAATAATATAAAGCACTTATGTTTCGGCTCCATAAGTCGTCACTAACAACACGCACAATCTATCATTTTTGTAATCGATGGAGTTCAATCCCTTGTTGATACCATATTAATTTAGCTACGTTCAAAGCTGCCGTTTCTCTTTGCGGAGTAAAAAACTGCTTGTTACGAAGCAAAATCACGTAGACACGCGATTCCGCATTCTGAATACAAATACTTCCGAAGTAAGGCGTCTACAAAACAACTCGTCATTCATTTTATAGGTGTGTGTGTGTGCGTGTGTGTGTGCGTGTGTGTGTGTGTGTGTGTATAGGAGAGTACGTGTGTGTGTTTACGTGTACACGATTGAAAACTTTTTGACCATCAAAAAATTTTACTTTCTGTTAAAAAAAATGGTTCAGAATAAAGAAAGTGTTTACTTATAGGTATGCAACTTAAAATAGCAAATGAACTGACGGCCAACCTGATGGAAAGTGGTAACCTTTTCTCGAGGCACTTGTATGGGGACAGTCTATCTATATAATCTTATATTATATAGATAAGTTATAACATTTATAGTATATTTAATAGAATATATATTAGATTTATCGAGCAAGAATGAATGGAGATGTCGGTAGGGGCCGCCCTAGACGGACGTATGTCGACCAAATAGGCGACGTGCAGAAGAAGGGCCAAATTAAAAGTACCCGTAACCGGCGAGCGTGTATGAAAATATTGATGAATGTGGAAGAAGCGAAAGAAGTTTGTTTGAATCGAAGCATTTGGCGTTCCATTGTTTCTGCCTACCCTAATTGGAGACAGGCGTGACAGATATGTATGTATGTATGTATGTATATATTAGATCTTCCCCTGCCCTTACTGTCATCCACATTCATACGTGACACTCTCCTTAAAACATGTTATTAAACCTTGCTCATCGCGTGTGGTTTAGTTTTGTTTCTTTTTATACCACTGATGTGGCAATCAAATGTGGCATACGGCTCACCTGATTGGTAAGTGGTTACCGTAGCCTATGAATGCCTGCAATACTAGGGGTTTTACGCGCGCATTGCCGACCCCGAAGAAACCTCTTTACCCCTCTTTTGAAGAACCTAAAGCTGTAGTCTCTTAGGAAAACCTTAGTAGGAGCTCATTCCATAACTTGAGTGTTCGTGGGAGAAAACATCTCTGAAACCGCATTGTTTAGGCTGTAGGATATGAGAGTGAACTCCCTGTCGATAGCGAGCCGTACGATGGTAGAAAGTGGCCGTGGGTATCATATTGAACAATTCCTCTGAGCACAATCCGATGTACAACCGGTAGAATAGGTGACAAAGGGATTGTTAGCAATGGAGGTTGACAGCCCCATTGCTAACAATATGCCCTATTAGGTCGACCTCCGCGTGGTTCCCTCTGGAAACCATCGTGAATAATTCTTGTTGAATTCGTCATGATGGGTTAACTGACTTGCTTCATCCTTACCTATTATTCTTCACTGATGGGCCGCCGGTGTATACCGATAGCGCAGGTGGAGTTGCCATAGTTGTGGGCCATAGAGGTTGGCAGAGTGAGGCAAAACCTCTCCTAAGACTTAAAGCTTCGATACTGCTTGTAAGCCTGGGATCATCGTGGCGGTATATGACAAATTGTATGTAAAATTTAAAAAAAATATACATACTTGGTGAGCTGGGCCACTGAGCTCTTCCTCATGAGCACTGCGTTGATGATATTGATAGCATTTTGCGCTTGTCTGCCGACTGGTGCCCGTGGGACGGTCTGACCGGCCCATTCGTAGCCGTTTTCCGGGTTTATCAGTAGATCGCCTGTATCTGTTGGGAGGGGAGATATATTTATTATTTGCTTGAGCTTGTAGCTTCGGCTGTGTAAATTAATTCATACATAACACTACTAGTAAGTAACTCACAGACAAATGTTGACTCCTTAAATCATTTTTTTAAAAAGTGTAGTTTAATTTTAAGAATAATGATTTGATAGATAGATAGATTACCAGAGGGAGACTTTGTATAAAACTCGATTTCTTGGGTACCTCTGTCCCATTTGTGTTTCAACCGTGAAGCAGTTGTGTTTGCATGGCTGTGTTTCGGTTTGAAGGGTGGGATATGGCGTTTACTGGGTACAGAGGAATAACATCCGAGTTCTCAGGAATGGCAACGCATGGGGGGTATCATGGGCGAAACAGTATACTCTGTTATGTCCATGGTACTGCTCATGTCTATAGGCGACGGTTACCACTTTCCATAAGGTGGGCCGTCAGCTTGTTTGCCATTCTAAGTTGTATAAAATAAAAAAGATAGATTCTCTTCATTGTTTCCTCCAAATTATTACAATAGTAAACTTATTATAAATATAAACAATAACAAGAAATAATTACAATGAGAAAACAATGGGCGACCTTATCGCTAAAAGCGATCTCTTCCAGGCAACCTTTGATGATTGATAATTTGACATGAATGAACAAAACTTATTTGACATAATTTCTAATAGCAACGAAATTACATAAAATAATGTAATAAATTCTAAAAGTTAACGTACATAGGTTAGTATTAATGTTATAATATTTAAAACTTTTGCTAGCAATACATAATTTTACCTAAAAATATATGCAAGGTTTCATTTATTTTTTACTATTGCAATAATAAAAAAAAATACAAGAGACATTGCGATTGTGTGGGTTATAATTTATTCGGGTAAAGATATAATATATATTATTATTATTTTTTAAATTTTTACAAAATTCACATCTCCCCTCTTAAGGAGAGGAAATGGCAAACTAACCCCCGGCAGAAGCACAATTGGCCCGGGTTCAGGGCCCCAGGGAGAGAAACTGGCATATAATGCGGGCAGTATCTAAGAGCACCGCTTACTGCATCTTTCCCGGGAGTGAGCCGCCTCGGAATCCCAACCGTCTGAGATGTTGTTCCAGACTGGTTGGGATAAGACCGTTCGCCGACATGACGATTGGAATGATTTTGGTGGATGCTATCCCCCACATTTCGGTCACCTCGTGAGCCAGGTCGAGATTTTTTTATTATTATTATATATCTACAATTAAAATATCAATTTGATGTTACAACAAAATCTTTAGTTTAATTTAACTAATTTCTTTTCTTAATATATAACAATAAGATGTGTAACATAAATTATTGGTCAATTTAGAAATTTCACTTTAAATTACCTTTAATTACCAAATAATTAATACGAACACAAACATCGATACCAGCGCCATCTAGTATTTATTGCTGAAATTTGAATAGTGATCAACCTCTTTAAGGTGTTAAAAGATAACAGACAAAGAAACAAACTCACTTTCCCATTTATAATATTAGTAAGAATTACAGACTTAATGATGGAGGAATGGGCAGGAGTGTTCCTCTTAAAACATTTCTAAAAGCCTAACTGCTTGCCAGCTCATCTGCCAAACTTGGCAACTACTGGCAAAACTCCCCTTATGGGGAAGGCTTATGAGAATAGTTAACGGCTGAGATGATGATGAAGGATTACAATATGACAAACAATGGAAAGTATAAAGAATCATCATTATCGTCATGTCGGCCTTTAACTGTTCACTGTTGAACATAAGCCTCCCCCTAGGGGGTTTTGCTATTAGTTGTTACGCTTGGCAGGCAGATTGGCAACTGCAGTTAGGCTTTAGACATATTTTAAGAGGGACGCCACTGCCAATCCCTTGCCCTCCATTAATCACCTCTTACGACACCTACAAAAAAGAAAAAGGGTGGCCTATTCTATGCTGGGACCACACGGGACGGTATAAAGAGTAATCTGTATTAAACAAGTTGCTCATAGTAATATAGTAATAATAATAAAGTGTGGATTAAAGTGTGAATGAAAGAAAAGATATAACAGAGTGTTAATGAATAGAGATGTCGATAGCACCTCCACTCTATGTGGAGGCGTGTCGACCAAATAAGTATGAAACTTTTCCAATTTTCCGGCACTCTGGAGGATTATATCAAGGTGGTACCCAATAAAAAACAAAATATCCCAAATTGCATTTAGGAAATCTATTTGAAAACTCGTTTTTGGTATAAACATTTTTTAATATGGTATATGAAGACAAAAAATAAAAATGATTAATGGCTGTATGTGATCATTAAATAATGTGATAGATTATATAGATAGAGCAAGTGACAAAAAAGTGTCAACATTTAGTCAACTAAAGTGACATTTGGCTGACTCGATTTGACATGTATTTTTTAAACGCGCCATTTTTTTAGTTTTGCAAGTAATAGGATTAAAAATTTCTCAGAAAAATTAAATTTCTTAAATTTTAATTGGAAACTATTGTCTTTTAATATAATAATACGTATTCCTTATTAATTAATGTATGTGTCTTAATTAAAAAGACAGCTTTTTTCAATGATTTTAAACACAAAATTTATTTTGCGTTTGTACTTGGATATAAATAAAAATAATGAATATAAATAAGCTACATTACAAATATTTATACACAGTTTAGCATGTTTATTTATTTATTTATACATTTGTATACATTAAAATATGTATACAGGGCGGACTTAATGCCTGATGGCATTCTCTACCAGTCAACCGTTACGCTAAACAGAGAGAGAAAATGGCGGTGCATTAATTTAACAAAGCAATTTATAAATTAAATAAATATTTTATCATATTCTTCAAAATATATATTTTGCATCGCTTTTATTTTTCAATTTAATCTTACAATGTAATTTCTCTTATCTATGATGTAATAAATTTATATTATGGTAACCCTATTCACGCACACATGGATACAAAAGTTGACCTGTTTTTGGCGAAATATTGTATAAAGACACTCCATCTATACAATCTAAGTTTTATGGTTGTAAAATTATATAAAAAAAAACAGACTTCCAAAACAGGACGAGAAAATTATAATGACGTGATATACAGACAGATACCTAGGCAGAAATTAAAAGGTTCTATTTTAGTCAACTGGCCAAATAATTGAAACTCATTGTTTACTTTAAAAATCAAATCATCTTTCGAATCTGAAAATATTAAATTATAAATACCTTTATTTATATATTATCTATATTTATCATCTAATATTAATAAGTAAATAAAATGAAAATATAAAAAAAAAATGTAAATTCTGTTAACTAGATCTGGTTTAAAACTGATAGGAACTTAAGCTTATTATATTATGTCCTATTCTATTTATACATTTATGTTGGTCTAAACCCATGGGATTTATGACAAACTTACTCAAAATAACCTGTACAGGCACTGATAAAGGATTTTAGATAGTCCCGTGAGATCTCAGGCCGATCAGGGAAGGATTTAAAATAGCTGTCGTAAAATTTATGCGAGCAGTGTAACAAGGTTTTGCTAAATTAGTTAAGTTGTGTATTATTTGATTCAAACTTAAGCAAGTAAAATAGAATTGAAATAAAACATAAATAAAGTAAGCTTATTTAAAATAAAAAAAAAAAATCTTCAGAATTTAACGATTTTATTCTTTTTTTTTTATACAACTTAGAATGCAAACAAGCTGACGGCCCACCTGATGGAAAGTGATAACCGTCGCCTATAGACATGAGCAGTACCACGGACATAACAAAGTATACTGTTTCGCCCATTATACCCCCCATGCGTTGCCATTCCTGAGGACTTAGGCGTTATTCCTCTGTACCCTGTAAATTCACGCCACCCTTCAGATAGAAACACGAATGGGACAGAGGTATCCAAGCAATCGACTTTTGTACAAAGTCTCCCTCTGGTATATGATATAATATGAGTGAATGAATGAGTATACTTTATTTGCATTATACAATATAGGAAATAAGCAAGACAATTTACAAACACAACGATATAATTGTATAAGTACAGTAAGACGGTTTTATTGCTGAGAGCAATCTTTTCAAGACAACTTTAGTGTAATGAACTCATTGTAATGATACTTACAACATTATAAAGTCATGGAAAGAAATCATCACACTGTAATGACGGTCATAAACGAAATGATGATTTTAATTCTGTAAAATGGTGGAATAAAGCATTGACTATAATGTCACTTATAATTTTTCACGAGATTTATAATTTATTAGCTTTCGCTCGCGACTTCGCTTGTATATTTGATGTCTCGCAGATTTTATTTTGAACCATGAGCTGCTACATCTAAAATTTCGCGTATCTAACTTCTAAACTTACGAAATTTCATGCATATTTACATCCTGAGGGATTAAAATTTTCAATATTCCTTCCCTATTTTTTATTTGCGTTATATATATATATATATATATATATATATATATATATATATATATATTATGAGTCAGTCACTCCGAATCTTCTTATTACCTAATTAAGCTTTTGTATAATTACTCGTTAGCCATTTGATTTCGGCATAGAAATAGCCACTCTTTCCTTTCCCGTAGGTGTCGACTAGGGGAGGGCGAGGGATAGGTGTTCCTCTTAAAACATCTTCAAAGCCTAACTGCTGTTGCCAATCTACCTGCCAAATATGGCAACTACTGGCAAAACCTCCCAAGGGGGAGACTCATGTTCTTATATGTATACGCTGGTATGATGATGATGATACTTGCTCGTATACATTTTGAAGTTGCTTAATATCATAATTTATTTATTACTAAGCAAGGGAGATTGTCAGTCTCTAAATTCTCTCCCTTAAGTATCATAATATAGAAAACAAAATAAAATACAATTATTGAATATTTTCAAAATAATTTATTGTCATTGTGCAAAATTCAATATAAATTATATATAAATAAATAAATCACGCTCATGTGAAGCTGAACGGAGTAGCTACTGGTAGTAACGTTATAAAAAG